ACATGTATAAATCCTGCCTGGGTGAGGTAATCAGCGACCACATCTGAAATATCGTTGGGAGGAGGCCCCCTGCATCTTATCGCGTCGGGTTTTCAGCTGAAGAACATGTTTAGTATTCCACACGCGCTGTGAAATATGTGCACTCTGCTTCCTCTTCCGGAGGACCTCCCACCTATACAGCCCAAGTATGATATACACACTGGGATCGGTAGGCTCTGGCTCATGATCGGATGCAGATCCCCGGATGATGATGAATTAGCCATAATAAAATACTATAAAAAATATTAAATTTGTTGTTACCATTAATTTATATTCAAATTATATATACATGTGTAATACAACATTAAAAATAATTTAATTTACAACTAATTACAATATTTAAGATTAATATGTATTTAAAAATTATGTACACACCTTGTACAAGATTATCGTCCAAATGAAATTATAATATATGATAATTTCAATTACTTGTTCTAGGTCACTATTTATTACCTAAGTCACTATCAATTTTATGAAGCATACAAAAAATTCTAGGCAACTACCAAATTCCTAAGTCACTAATTAATTCGTAGGTTAATAATATTAATTCCTAAGTCACTACAAAATTTCTACGTTACTAGATACTTCTTGGTCACGAACAGTTTCCCAAGTCACTAATAAATTTCTAAATCACTAATAAATTCCTAAATCACTAACATATTCCTAATTTATTACTGTAATTTAAACATATAGAAAGCAGATATTAAAAACTTACTTTTCTGACAGAGCTTCGCTAACCAATTTTTCACGAAAGGGAGAGCAATAGCGTATTAGAGAGAAGTTAGAGAGAGTAAAATGATAAAAGTGAAATACATTGCAGTGTATCACGCCTGGTTTGGGCGTCACTGGTCACGCCCCATTTAGGCATGACCTACATGGCATTGACGCCTACTTTTGGCATGACCTTGACGCCCAATCAGGACATGACACACTGCAATACATGCATAGATATTTTAAAAATAACAATAAGTTCGAAATTTTTTATTTAAATTACAATAAATTATTTTTTTCTATCGAACGACAAATTACCAAAAAAACGCACCTATGAATTGTTATTATTATTTCCAATTTTATTATCGATTATTAAAAAATATATAATACGTTTTTATATTAGTTTAAAATTCAATTTAATTTAAATTTTAAATTTTTTATAATTTCATGTCAATTTATTAATTAGTATATATATATATATATATATATATATATATATATATATTTATATTTAATTATTCTCCATTCAATCACAAATAATTTAATAAATTGTAAATAAATACCTTCACAAGTTAAAATCCAATTTTAAGAACATGAATTAAAAGGCAGTTTTTTCTTTGAATTTTGAACGCTGCCATCATTGTCGGGGATTTTTTATAATCCGACAATAATAAATTAATTAAAACATAATATGTAATTATGAAAATCATTAAATGAATGTAAAATATTATTTAACAAGTTTTAATTTAAATTCATCCGTTAAAAATTTCCAATAATGTATTAAAGTTTTTCTTCCTTCAAATGTATTTATAATTATTAAATAAATACTCTTTTTGGTCTTCAACAAATTTTACGATATCCGCTTTAGTCCCTAGCAAATAAAAAGGCTATTCGTGGTCCCTAAAAAATTTAAAGTGGACTCATTTTAATTTTTTTGAGGGATTAATATTGATCTTTTTTGAATTTGTGAAAGACCACAATTTTAACTAAATGAATTTATTTTAAATTTTTTATACATCAGAATAACCTTTTTATTTACTAGAGATTAAAGAGTGTCTTAAAATTTGCCGAATACGGTATTTACTTAATAAATAAACAAACTATTCCTCCGAAGGCGGCTCATCAATTATTACCAAAAAGAATCACATACCGATAGGTATTCGCCATTCACAATGAGTTGTTACGAAATCAGAATCATTCTTTTCTCATTCGTTCAATTGAGCAAGAGAAAAGAAATCAAACACAAAAGAAAAAAAAAAGAAAAATGGTAGAAGAAAATATATAAGAAAATATACGTACTTATTTTAATTTCTATTTCTTTTTTGGTCTGCGAGCCAAGCACGACACTTTCTGATTTTCTAACATTGAGGAGAAAAGTCAGAAAACTTTTTGGTAGCGCCCAGCAATACACGGACACGCAAATATTTTGAGAAATGGCATATCGGACATATGTTTGACACGGACACGCTCTGATATGTTTGGATACGTATTTGACACGTGGTCAATATTTTGGGACACACAATCAACTCTCCGACACGCTCGGACACGTTTTTTGACACGTAGTAAACTTTTTTCGACACATGATCAACTCTTGGACACGTTTTTTTTTTTAGTCTTAATTTTTTTTATTAACTAAAAATAAAAAAAAAGGATTTATAAATTAAATTTTTTCTGTTATGAAATTTGACATGAAAAATTAACAAGGTACGAATTTATTTTTTTTATATTTATGTTATAAAATTTGAATATTTGATTAGTTATATGACTTATTATGGACTATTAAATGTATTAAATATAAATTATATTATATATATTAAAAATATTATTTAATATCAAAACGTGTCCCAACGTATCAAAATATGTCATTTTTTAGAATTAACGTGTTGGCGTGTCGTGTCGTATCCCGTGTCCGTGTCCATGCATCATAGGTAGCGCCCACAATCTGATATTGTTTTTTAAGCGTTTTTTTTATTATGTTATATTAAATAATTTTATTCCTCAGTGTATATGAGATTTTTTTTTTTTTTTACATGATCTCATATACTGTTATATATTTATAAAAGATAAAATTATGTATTATAATGTGAGAAACTTGAAGCCTTATTTTCTTTTACCCAATTTTCTTGTTCTATTCCACCTGCTTTCATAACAAAATTTTGGTGTATTAGATATATTTAATTGGTTATATCTTTTTTCTAGAAGGAGAAATTTATTTAATATAATAAAAATTTTCTTTTTTAAAAAATGATAATTTTTTTTTTAAATATAGAAAAAGACGTATCCAATTAGATACATATAATTCACCAAAGATATTTCCCAACTTTCATCTTCCATTTTCTCTCAAATGGCAGTCCTTTTAATTTTCTTTCGTTATTGTTAATTTTATATTTTTATTTATTTACATTTCTTTCATGTGTAATCTTTGATAGACCTGTCTGTAGTTTTATTTATTTATTTTTGGGTTGGTGACCATGTTCATTCATAAAAATATGTGAAAGAGAAACCCTTTCATTTGACAAAAAATGGATAAAATCTAAAATAATTTTTTCAAAAATTCTCTTAAGAAAGAACAAATCTTGAATAGCTAATTAAATCAAGACAAATTAATGATATTACAGACTTGTTAAGAATTAAAAATAAAAAACTAATTGGTTTGGCTAAAAAATATCCTTAAATTATTCATTATCATTAACTTTAGGGGACGTTTGGTACAGGAGATAAATTTTATTACTAGGGAAATATGATTAGTGGGGAAATAGTTGAAAAATTGAATTAGTGGAGAAATGTAAAAAAAATGGTTTGGTAGAACGAAATATTACCAGGAAAATTAACAAATATTTGCTAAGATTATGTTTGGTTGAAAGTAAAAGATTGATGGGAAAAATATCAAAAAACCGAAAATACCCCTTTAAAATATGGACTTTCTTTATTTAATAGAGCCGTTGTTGCAGTATTGTTTGACACCTATGATGCAACCAACATTCGTCATGGCTGGAAATACCCCTCACAAGCTCATGTTTATGTTTGTTGAGCTATAGCTGCTGCACAAAGCATCCGCATGGCTGTATCAACTCGAGACCAAGTGATAATTGTTGATGAGACAATCAGTGGATACCACAAAATTGGTTTGGAAGCAGCAGGGTCGAAGGTTAGAACAATACAGAGTTACAAAAACCTCAAAGCTGAAAAACATGCTTACAATGAATGCACCTACAGCAAACTCCATGGGATGGCAGCTTACAGAGTTATTGATGCAGATACCACCTCCAAAATATCAGGGGCATTTGGGTAACAAAACACACGCCAAAATTTTCACTTCCCTGGTTCTCTCCAAATACCATCTCCACGGACGCATTTGCAAACAGTAATTTCTACAAAAATTTACACACAACGCAAGGTTTCCTGGGGAAAGAGGTTCCCTGGTTATTTTTGTCACACTCTTCTACCAAACGAAGATTAATTGAAAACTCATTCTCACTTACCCATCAATCCTCCCAAAAACCACCTACCAAACACCCCTTTAAATCAATACGTTAAACTTTTTTTTAACCCGTTAACTACTTATTAAATATCGTTTTATATAAGAAAGTGCAAAATAATCAAAAAAACTGAATTGATTTGTGAATTGAATTGAACTTTCCTTAAAATAACAAATTTTTAAAGAATCTATTCATGAACCGAACCGATTTTTAAAGAACTAGTTAATGAACTCAACCAATTTTTAAAACCAGTTCAAGAACCTAATCGATTTTTAAAGAACCAATTAATGAATCGAACCAATTTTTAAATCAGTTCAAAAACCGAACCATTTTCAAATCGAACCGAACCAAGTTTTATTACTTTATTTTTTTAAATTTTTATTTTATTTCTTTTTATATAGGGTCGACTCGAACCGAATCGAACTGTTTCTGAATCGAATCAAATCGATTTTAAATCGAACCCTTTTCAAACTGAACCATTTAAGCCAACTGGTTCGATTTTTAAAAAAAATTGGTTCAATTCAACCCTTGCACACCGCTAATTTTATCCACTTGGCGCATATAAATAAATATATATATATATATATATATATATTTTCTGCAAAACTATATAGAATCAATTTGGTCAATTATCATTAATATCTACGTTTAAAAATAAATAAGTAAATAAAAATATTTAATACATACATTTAAGTTAATAAAAAGGTAATTGTGAATCAGAGCAGGGAATGGCAGAGGTTTGAGACGCGTAATTGGACCGAGTCCAAAGGCTGGCTATAAGGTAGAGTAAGAAGGTGACTGACTGACTGACTGACTAGTGTGTGTTGCTTCAAAAGCCCAAGTTTCAGACCAACGTTACTCCAATTCTCTCCTTCACAGGAGAGAGTCAGAGACACACAAACACGCTCTGCAACACCACCATCACCATCACCAGAGACAAACTTTGCTTTTTTCCGATTTCACACTCAAGTAAAGTTCCCCCTACCATTCTTTATCTTTTCTTATTACATATGCTTGTAAATTTAACCGGTTTTATTTCTGATTTTCTACTATATGAATGTCTTCTTTATCATAATTATTTGACCAAATTTGAGTTTCATTCGGATCCAGCTGAATCAAAATCAAACCCTACCTGTTACTAACTAAATACACATTGATATTCATCCCCCCGTCCACAATCCAGAAATCAAAACCAGCACCAATTTTAACCGTTGAAGAAGCCTCCATACACTGAAAAACCCCATTAATGCAAGAAAAATCAACACCAACACGCATGATCCAGCCACTGAGTCTTCATAAAACCCAAACCACTAGGTACCAGAAGCCTCATAACATAGACCAGAGCCTCTTCCTTGACTATTTTACTGGTTCCTTTATTAGCAATCACCTTTACCTTCTTTTCTTTTTTTAATATCTTATTTGGGGCTTTCTGACTTTTTAGGTTTTTTTTTTACCTTAGGATTTTTGTGAGGTCCGTTTTCCTTTCCTTGTTGAGGAGATCACTTGGGGCTTGTTGAAGCTGTGAACGGTTATTGAGTTACATTACGGTATCTTTGTTTTTGTATTTTGAGAAAGTGGGTTGGGAATTTGAATAGGAATTTATTAGGTTAGTGGGCTCTCTTTCTCTTATTGGAGAAGCTAGTATATTCGGTTACTTTGGATGGTTGGAATTTTTTTATAGGAATTTAGTTAAGGTAGTGGGCCATGCATTGCACGATAATGGTCTGCGCTAAATAATTTTGTTTATATATATATATATATATATATATATATATTGTAAAATATATGAAATCAAATCTGAAACTTCTAATTTAATGCAGCTCAATTTGTTCAATTATCATTAATGTCTATTTATAAATAAAGTAAATAAAATTATTTAATATATAGATTGGTTTCATAAATAAATAAAGGGAAATAGAAGTATAATGTTGTAGGAAAATGTTTAGGTAATGTTATAGAGATAGAGATGGTGGGACCCACACTTGTTTATTTTTTTGGTTTTTGAAAACAAGGGTGGGTCCCACCATCTCTATCTCTATAACATTACCTAAACATTTTCCTACAACATTATACTTCTTTTTCCCATAAATTAATAGTAGTAGGTGGAAAATATTTTATTTCATATATGTAATATTTTGAGTAATAAAAGCAAAAGAGGTAAATTAAAATCCAGTATCTTCAGTTATAATTCAATAATAAGTATAAGTTTTTTTTTTCTTTTTCTTTTAGAGATATATTTATTATTTTTTTAAATTTTGAAATCTAGATAAATAAGAAAGGCATTTAAAATATTAGGGAATTGTTAACTAGTGTCTTAATATTACATTATTTAATTTTTATAAGAGCAATTAAAGTTTATGATAATGCATGAAATAATATTAAAAAGTTTAAAATTATTTCTACTCATGATAATTGTAATGAAGGAACTTTTATTATTATTATTATTATTATTATTATTATTATTGAGTAGAGAATACACACATTGATTGTTTTTTTAGCTTAGATGTATGGGCACTCATAACACGGTTGGTCCCACTTGAGTGACGCTTTTTTAGGCCGAGTATTACTTGAATAATTATTATTATTAGATGTGCCGTTCTTTTCTATTCTTGCGTTATTTAGTTTATGGGTTTTATGTTTATCATGTAACATGATATAACATCATTTTCCTACACATACATTAAAGAGGTGGGGTTCACATGTTTTTCTTTTTCTTTCGTCATTCCACTTTCTCTCTCCATTTTTATGTGTGTTGAAAATAACACTTAAATCATGTAACATAACAATAATAAAACCCTTAGTTTATAAGACTGATTTCCTTTGTATGTAAAGCGACTCAGTTAGATATTTTTTTCAAGTAACATCTCAAAAACTCGAACATTTGTTTTCTTTTGAGAGCGCAGTTGCTTGGGAATGCATATCCTATGCCTTGTATACATTAAATTGGTAAAAACTACGAAGTACTAATCCATTTCAAAAGTCAAATAACTTTTTTTGGCAAATTTCTGACTAAAAACTTTGGGTGCTAAGCATTTTTTCCTTTTAAAATTTAATTAAATCCTATTAATACCCTCTATTTTCATCCCATAACTCATCTATGTGAATATTACTGAGCTTACCTAACACATACAATTTTACCAACCTCTTTCTTTCGTGCATGTTTTATAGTTTGTCAGTGATTTGTGAATGCAACACAGTAGTTGGGACGAACAAAATAAGATTTATTGCAATAGTTAAATTATATTTGCTTTCTTTAGATCTCTGGTCCATTAAAGATGGTTGAAAACATTTCCAAAGCCAACCTTAGCTACCGTGGAGATAATGACATCGTAGAGGACTCCATAGATGGTGGTGTGCCTATACAAAATGACTCCAAATTCTTTGATGATGATGGCCGTCTTAAACGAACGGGTACAAATTAATTCATGTTATATACTTTTACATTATCTTTGTTTCTTTGATTGGATCGGATGATATTTTATGTCTTAATATGAGGAAGGAACCGTTTGGACTACAAGCTCCCACATTATAACGGCTGTGGTAGGATCTGGTGTGCTTTCCTTAGCCTGGGCCATAGCTCAGATGGGTTGGATTTTTGGTCCTGTGGTGATGCTCTTGTTTAGTGTCGTCACCGTGTATACTTCATCGTTTCTAGCTGATTGCTATCGTGTTGGCGACCCCATTTTGGGAAAGAGAAACTATACTTTCATGGACGCAGTTAGCTCCATTCTAGGTAACATGTTTATATACATTAACAAGAATAGCACCATGTAACATAATTTTTTTATATATTATTTTTTTGGAATTCAAGTATGAATGACGTGATTCTCTTCTTCACTAACAAAAGAATTTCATTTTGACAATATCAGCATGCACCACCCATTCAAAGTTTCGAATTCCCACGTTTGTTAGTTGAATTTGTTGAAAAGCTTTTGCGTGAATTAAGATTTCTGCATATATATTGACAATCATAATCCTTTTAAAATGAAATGCGTGTATGACGTACCATTACCATTGTTATGTATTTTGCAGGCGGATACAGTGTTACGTTTTGCGGGATAGTTCAGTACTTGAATCTTTTCGGAAGCGCCATAGGATACACAATTGCGGCTTCCCTTAGCATGATGTGAGTGAACACTTGCTATACCTTTTCAAATCATAGAAATTGATTTGATTTCCAAATAATATAAATAGAAAGTAATAAAAATAAAATTGATTTATTTTTAAAAACATCATTTTTTTTTATATTTTGGTAAAGAAAAAGGGGCTAGGCCCCAATAAACAAAAGCAAGAGCTAAACAGACATTGTGTATGAGTATATATAAGATTTCAATGTTTTTGATTAATTTTTCTTTTTTGTCAATTTTGTTCTTATTGATTTAGGCATTTAGCCACTTCAACAATTTTAAGTAAAGATAAAAAAATAAAAATAAAAATAAAATGATCTTTTTGATCTTTAATGTAATTCAAATATGGACATCCATTTATAAATCAATTTAAATCTTACTTTTTTAATAAATTTCAATCAATCAAGATCAATTTAAATCTTACTTTTTTAATAAATTCCAATCAATCAAGTTAAATTATATTAATTCTATTGATGGTAAAGATACACTATATTATGGTGTGTATTTGAAAATACCACTTAACTGAAGCATGCGGTATGATAGTTGATTGTCACTACACAATATTTCTTTCTACTGATAGGATTATCTAGTTTGATGATGGTTGAATGTTGATGGGATTGTTTCAATGTTTTGGTTGACAGGGCTATCAAAAGGTCTAACTGCTTACATTCCTCTGGTGGAAAAAACCCATGTCACATTTCAAGCAACCCATACATGATCAGTTTTGGTGCAATTCAAATTTTCTTTTCTCAAATTCCAGATTTTCATAACATGTGGTGGCTCTCAATAGTTGCTGCAGTCATGTCTTTCACCTATTCTATAATTGGACTCGCACTTGGAATTGTCAAAATTGCAGGTTATATTCTTACCTTTGTTTGTTTGAATCAAGTTTTCTTGTAATTCTTGGCTGTTGTTGGCTCATAACCCCTCCAATTATGGTTTTATTGCAGAAAATCTCTTTTGGTTTAAAATTTGGTTACATGGCTCTCTAAACTTATCAAATCACGGAGTAGTGTAAATTTAAGATCTTGTACATATGCGGAAAAAACCTATGTAGAGAACCAGCATGCATGGTTTATAAGTTCAAGGAGTGTTGCTGAATTTTGAATCATGATATATTTTTCTAATTAACCTATAATTACAAACGGTTCTTACATTTTAGCCAATTTTGTTTGGTTGGTTTTGGAATAGAAACGGGCACTTTCCAGGGTAGCCTCACAGGAGTAAGCATTGGAACTGTGACAGAGGCCCAAAAAGTATGGGGGGTTTTCCAAGCCCTTGGTAACATAGCCTTCGCCTATTCATATTCTTTCGTTCTCCTTGAAATTCAGGTACACCTTTTTTTCTTTCTGTTTGAAAAAGTAAGGAAAAACTAAAGAGAATTTTATCATATAAAATATAATTGATTAATGCTATATACGCACATATCACCTCACATTTATACAGTTTTTTCAATCACATTGCAGCTTACCCCACTTTTTTCTAGTACACCTATTTCACCACATACTCCTTGTGTAAGAGATGTGAGCATCGGAGGTGCTCAGCAAGCTTTGTCCAAACTAATTAATATATAATATTCTGACTGACTACACAGGACACTATCAAATCTCCACCTTCTGAAGTAAAAACAATGAAGAAGGCCGCAAAGATAAGTATTGGAGTGACCACAACATTTTATATGCTTTGTGGCTGCAGTGGCTATGCTGCTTTTGGAGATTCAGCACCTGGGAACCTGCTCACTGGATTTGATTTCTTTAAACCATCTTGGCTTATAGATCTTGCTAATGCAGCAATCGTAATTCACCTTGTGGGAGCATACCAAGTGTATGCCCAACCCCTCTTTGCCTTCGTTGAGAAAGAGGCAGCAAAAAGATGGCCCAAAATTGACAAGGAATTCAAAGTTCCAGTTCCTGGTTTTGCACCCTACAATCAGAACATATTTGCATTATTTTGGAGGTCTTTTTTTGTTGTCGTAACCACGGTTATATCAATGTTGCTTCCATTCTTCAATGACGTTTTGGGAGTGATTGGAGCAGTGGGCTTTTGGCCTTTAACTGTTTACTTTCCGGTCGAGATGTACATCAAACAAAAGAGGATCCCAAAATGGAGTAGGACTTGGATTTGTCTGGAATTGTTGAGTGTTGTCTGCCTCATAATATCAGTTGTGGCTGGTCTTGGCTCTGTGGTAGGTGTCTTTCTTGACCTCCAGAAATACAAACCATTCAGCTTATACGATTAAACCCCACACCCTTGTACATGTAAGGTGGTGATGTTGTGTTCTTAATTGTATCATTATCTTGTAAGTAGTGCTATCATAATAGCTAGTGCTAAATCGAAATTATCCCTCTGTAATATTTAAGAAGAATTGGTGCTTCAATTAATTGTTGTCGAATACATTTGAGATGCCTTTATTCTTCATTTTTTTAATTGATTTTTGATTTTTTGTACAAATACAAGTGGTATACTAAAATGATTAGATAAATGACAATGGTTTACTGTATTTTGTCTTCAGTTTAATTTAAGATTTTTGCTTTTATGTATATATTTGTGTATTTCTTAGTCGTGTATCGTGTTGTGTTCTACGTGTCATGTTATATTTGTCTCCCATATCTGTTTTCCTATTTATAATGTTACAACTAGGGGTGAAACTGGGCCGGGCCGGCCCACAGGGGCCTACGGCTCGGCCTACGTCAGGCCAGACCTGACATAGTATATTTCATAAAATAGGCCGAACTTGGGCTTTGAAAAAGCTTGTTTATTAAAAAGGTCGTAGGCCCACTTTGACAAGGCCTGACCTATAAGCCTACAGGCCAGCCTATATTGTACTATTTATTTTAAATAAAATAAAATAGAATAAGTATGGCTTGAAAAAAAAACAAAAGATATAAATTTAATCAATTGTAATTATTTATAACTTAATTATATTTGATTATATTTTAATATAAATCTAACTTTATTTCTTATACAGGAGGAACCAACATATCAACATGTTAAATTGTGTATATGAATATATTAAAAAGTTTTTGGGAGAGATTATACTTACTACAAACATCATGATGTGTTGTTAGATTCATGTAATTATTTTAATTTACATAGTATGGATTTGTTTGTTGGATCTGATGAAATATTTGTTATTTAGTTTGAGCATTTTGCTTTTGAAAATGACTTAAATACAGATTGTATGAATGTTGTTGTGATTCATGATTCTGTTTGGACGTTGAAATTATGATTTTTGGTTTAGCAACAGAATTTAAGTATTTTGTAAAGAAGTTAAAAATTAACAGGTTAATGAGCTAGGCCAGGCTATTTGTTTTTTTTTATAAACGGGCCAAGTCAGGCTAATAGTTAGACTCGTAACAAGATTGGGCCAGGCCAAATTAAATTTTTTTTTACGTAGGCTTAGGCTTTTCGGTGCAAAGCTTGACCCAGCCCAGTCCACTTTCACCCCTAGTGTCATGATATGATATAAATAAACAAAATATCTTTTTAAACATAATTTTATATGTTTTTTAAAATTGATTTTTAAACAGTTTTTTATTTATTTACACATTAATTATATTTTAAATTATTCAAAAAATTTAAAAGTCATAATTTTAAATTAAATATATTAAAATACATAAATAACTTACAAAAAATTAAAAATAAAAAAATACATCCTCGCCATATAAATTTTTAAAAATTATTTAAAATTATTTGTCAATATCAGTGGCTGGTGGCTAGTGATAGTGGGTAGTGTTGGTGGTAGTTATGGGGGATGGTGACAATGAAAGGTGGTGACGACGCCAGTAATGGTCGGTGATAAATGTGATGGCGGAATGATGATGGTAGTTGTGGCGATAGTGATGGTTGGTGCCTGATGGTTGGAGGTGGTGGTGACATGAGATGATGCCTGGATGGTGATAGGTGGGGATGATCAGTGAAAGTGGTGGTGGTGGCGACGCCAGGGCAATTGTGGTGGCTGATGACGGTAATGGTGGTAGCTAGTGGGAACGACATCGGTGGTGGTGGTTGGTGCAATGGTGGCAGGTGGAAGTGGTTGTGGTGGTGGCGCCGGCAGCGCTGGTGGTGCAAGCTGTATGTAATTATAGGGCTAATCGGTGATGGTGGTGGTGGCTAGTTGTGGCGGTGGTGGTTGGTGCATGGGGATAGAGGTGGCCGATGGCCAACAATGGCGGCGGCTTGTCGGTGGCAAAGACTGACTCTCACATGCCAAACAAAATTTATATGAGAAAAACATATCGCGATATTTGAAAAGAAAGGGATGTGACATTTGTTATCATATCATGTTCCTTTATAACTCGAGTCCCCCAGTAGGATAGTTTATCCTACTATAAGCAGAATAAAATGAGCCAACAACTTAAGCTTATCATATCCTGTTGATTTACCAAACAATGAATAATAACAGGATATAATAGCCTAACATATCATGTCCTTTCTATTTTAACTACCAAACGAGCTCTTAGATGTATTTGGTATTAATGTGTATATTTACACATGCCATAGTTATTTTTAATTGTAAAATCACAAATCCCTAAATTTGTATACTTATTATTTAATGGTTATAAAATTTTGTCTGTTGCATAAAAAAAAAAAAAACGTACCCCTTTATTATCACAACTGGTGCTGCAAAATGATGCAATGAGTATCCGGTATTATACAGGAGAAAATTTTCGTTGCTGCAGATATAATGATAGATGGCCCCCAAAAAGGAGAAACGATTTCCCTTGAATTTTAGGAAAAAATTCACCAATACTCCTGTAGTTTGCTTTAAAATCACCTATGCCCCTATGATTTTTTTTATCACATACGTCCCTGTGATTTGCAAAAGGGTATGTTTTTATCACACATGCCCTTGTGATTTTTTATTTTTTACAAACCACAGGGCAATATGTGATACAAAAAAATCTACAGAGACATAGACAATTCTGAAGCAAACTAAAAGGGGGCATTAGTGAATTTTGCCCTAAATTTTACGATAATATTCTATGGATATCACAAAAAGTTTAGTTCTATGCATTGGTCATGCAAGGGGCTAACAACACAAAAAAATTAAGGGGCTAACAACAATAAAAAAATTATCTTACTCAACCATTTAACCCTACCAATATGCAATTCAACATATTACGAATTCACCACACATATGTAAGATCATCTTATAGCTGCAAACTTGAATTGAAAGTTTTATGTAAGAATATGATTAACATGAAAGAAGTCCCCACTCCGGTCATTTGGTTGGTGCAGATAAATATTTGTGAAATGCCTGTCTTACTATATAATTCAACAAAAGTTTTGTATTTTGGTAAGAAACAATATACAAATGAGGGAATGCAGCAATAGTAGCTACTAAAAGTATCATATCATACAATCCTTACAAAGAAAGCATATAGTTTTCCAAATATAACATTAAATGAGTTCTCCAAAAAAGGAAAAAGAAAGGACAAGAACAGGTTCATGAGACATACAAACTGTTTCCCCATTAATTGTTCTGCACCACTTAGCTCAAATGAAGAGCAAGATCTTTTCATAATCTTGGTGATACACGTGGTTGAGTGCGAGGGAGGTCCCATTCTGTCACAATGTGATCACGAGTAATTTCCTTGAGTGAGCGGCAACCACTTAAGGCCATGGTTAGCTCAAACTCGTCACGTAGCATCTGCAACACTTTCCTCACACCAACCTCTCCTTCAGCAGCCAAAGAGAAGACCACAGGGCGTCCAATCTAACATAGAACAAAGTTTATTAACCATACTTTTACATACAGTTAAGATAACAAAAAAACTAGGAGGTTGTTTCCGTAACACTATTTTTTTCATGCACTGTTTAAAGGGCTGTGCAAAATAATCGAATCGTATTTTTCTGAACCAATTTTTAGAATCGAACTAGTTTATTAAACCAATTTAAAAATTGAAAAGAACTAAAAGAATTGACTTGAAAAATAGGTTCAAAATCAGTTCAGAACATGTTTGCATACACGAATTGGGTTCGAAACCGTTTATAAATCATAAACTAATTTTGAAACATAAACCGGTTCCGATTTCGAACCAGTTTATAAAAATAAAACAGTTGTGTTCTTTGAACCGAATCAGAATAAACCTATTCGGTTTGGTTCAATGAAAAAACTTACTCGGGTTAAACCATGCCCGGCCCTAAATTTTTTCATTGGTGTTTCATTAGGTGGTCTGATGAGAGTGGCTGGTATAGGAAGAACCAAGTCTCAATAATGGTCAGTCTAGGGTGCAATGTGGTGGTTTCTTCCGTATACACGGAAGAGAAAGAGTGGTGATATGTTGACCTACATAATGCTTATTGCTTAAGATGCTCAGGGAGGTGAGTATGCGAGAGAGTGCAATAAGTAAACCACTAAAATTGTCTTAAGGCAGGAATGTGAGACATATAGGTAGTTGTGAAAGATTCGAGAATTTCTTAAGTGCTACTTTCACTCGTAGTATGATATGTGTCTAAATTTTGAATAAAATAAAATAAAAAATTTATTTTAATGCCAAGTAAGAGGGTTGTTATGAACTTGACAAATTCCTACATTTTAGAAGGTTCAATAAAGGACAACATAAAAGAAAAGTCATGCAAATAGGAAAGAGAATCCTATATTAATGACGATTCTATCCTGATAGCTAAGCCATTGAACTTAGACCCTCAATATTTCTAAGAGGCCCATAAATACATCCTTCTAGGTAACTCATGTATAAATAAATAGTTAAGCCAATAAGGTACATACATTGTAAACTCTCTCTTTTAGCTGTCACTGAGCACACACACCTCACACTATGGACACATATCATATTGTGAATGAAAATAGCATTGATAACTCAGTGCAACAATAGCACTAAAAAAATTCTCAAAAAAGTGGTTATGCGGAGAAAAGGGAAAGATATTCTATGATATGGATATTTTGTCCTGCAATCGGAGTGGGGAATGGGAAATAGTGTTTATTAGTAGTTATATATTTATTATTACTATTTATTAGTAGTTGGTTCTTACAATAAACGTGAGAAGTCCATTATAAAAAAATGCTTTTGGGAGAGGTTATGATGTACTCACAAATATGCCAGAAGCACCTAGTGCCAAAGCCTTGAAGACATCAGTTCCACGGCGTACACCACCATCCAAAAATACAGGAACACGTCCTTGAGCAGCTTTAACAACCTAAGTTTCAATAACAAAAGTATATAAAGATCCTTAAATTTGGGTTTGTATAAGTTTCAAGTTAATTGAGATGTAAATTGAAGTTTGATGTACCTCTTCTAAGGCTGATATAGTGGCTGGGACATAATCAAGTTGTCTAGCTCCATGATTAGACACAATTATTCCAGCTGAACCAGCTTGTATTGCTAGCCTTGCTGCCAAATTAACATGAATAAGGCATTAATTAAATATTTCATTGAGGGAGAACAGATGAAAACAGCTTTTGTTTTCCTTACTATCCTCAGCAGTCAATACACCCT